TCCTGAAATTAGGACCTCCCTTTTCCCTAGACCAAAGGGTCCTAAGACCGACCTATCCTCTCTATTTCTTGGAAAGCAATTAGGCTCATTTTAGATAATGAGAAAAATGAAAAAATGATTTATGTGTCTGACTCTAAGAGGTTCCGAAGTTGGAAGGGAACCATTAGACAATCACAAAAGACTTCTCCTGCTCAGGTGCTTCCGAGGAAGTTAGCGAGCATATTGTAAGCTGTTACGTTTATTATCTTCCTAAGAAGAAAGGAGTTAAGATTTGGGGAATTTAGTTTCCAAAAACTCTGCCCTCTTAACCAAATGGTTATGATGTTTTCCAAATGAACACATATCTTTATGGCAAAGGCAGTCAGAAGCATGTTCAGGCTTGTTAATGACGAAACAATATATTTGGTATTTTCCTCTCAGTTTGGAAAACACAGTTCAACTTTATCGTTTAATATGGTACAGAGTCAGATTTCTAGCTATAGAATCTTGACTCCTCCAATTTTTATTATTAGTTTCAGCAGAAGGTAGGATGTTTATGTGCCTATTCATGCATTCAGCGTGACAGACTTAAGCCTCAAAGGACGTATTAACGTGTAAGTAACAGATGGGTCATTTGCTATCAGGTTAAACTTTTATGATAATAAGTTTATTATTTAAAAAGCTCAGACCACAGTGGTTAGGACATTAAATCAGGGTCTTCATCTCCTGTAAAAGCCTTTTGAAAGCAGTTAGTCAGTTATATGGCTTTTTGCGCCCACTTGTTGGGGGTTAGGGCCGGAAATCAACCTTATTGTCTTTTATGGAAAAGGAGGTGGACAGGGGATATACAAATCTTCCTTTTTCCCAACCTTCACAAATTATCTACCAAGAGAAATCTACCCATTGCTTCTTTTTGTACCCTCGTGATATATTTATTGGAAATCTCTACTTTCATAGAAGCTCAAATGAGCGAGAAACTTTAGATCTAGCATCTCCAATAACTCTATTGGAACCTTTTCACCCTTCTTTTGGTCCTGATCCTAAAATCTAATCCCTTCATTCTACAAGTACTCATATTTGTAATAGACTTATACTCAAAAGTTAGGAAAGCATGGGATATCTTGTCATAGTACATGGGCGGTACCTCCTTGGTGCCTATAATTCAATAACTTTTTGTAGAATTTGGAGAAAAAATATAATTCTATTTCTCACATTTTAAATTGTAACACCTGAATATTTATAAAATTCTTAAACTATTAATTAAAAAATAACTATTCTACTAGAATCATAATTACATAAAATTACTATTTTAATAAAATTTAAATTACATAATACCAACTAATAACTAAAATACTTAAATAATAAATTATACTACTCAACACCCCCTCCCTCAAATTGGTGTAGAAATATCTCTCATGCCCAACTTGCAGATCAAGTTCTGAGGAGTCATCCTACAGTTTACCAGTACCAATCTTCTTCCTTGTTCGAAAATTATGATTTTACTAGATTTGTTGCGCCTATAATTGATGAAGAATTAAATTGAGACAAAAGACGCTTCAAGACTTGAATCTCTTCATTCACAAAGCTCCAATTGTTGGTGTGTCGAGTGTTTCACTTTTCTCAACTAAATTTTCTTGAGCTCTCGTAGGTCCACCATTCTTTCTCTCACTACCTCTAGTTGGCTTTCCGTGCAACTTACAGCAAGTCTCTTTGGTGTGTTTTGGCTTATCACAATAGTCACACCTCCGTAAATCCTTGAATTGTTTAGATTGAGCAACTAATATAGTTTTTTCAATTGGTGCTATGTAAAACATGATATTCCTTCTACTTTCTTCTTACTGGACATACGCATAAGTTTGTTCTAATGAAGAAAAAAGATCTTTACTAAGCACCTGAATCCGTATTTGATCATATTCGGTATTCAAACCAGTTAAGAAATAATAAATTTGCTCTTTTTCTATCAATTTCTAAAATTTGACTGCATCTGCAAAACAATCTACTTGAAGGTTTTGATAGTAATTTAATTCCTGACATAATCCACTCAGTTCAAAAAAATATTGTGAAATAGTCGTATTCTTTTTTTGTGTCATGAATTTTACTGCGAAATTCATAAACTTGGGCATCATTACCCACTTCTAAATATATAAAAGATGTCGTGTTCCATAATTTTATTGCAATATCGAGTAACAAATATATTCGAGCAATATGTGGATGCATGTAATTGATTAGCCAAGACATTACTAAAGAATTTTCAGACTCCTATATGTTATATTCCAAATTACGTATTCTAGTTTCTTCATATCACTTGTAATCTACCACTGCAATCCTTTAACCTTGATAAACAATAAATAAGATCTTGACAAACAACATAATTAGTTCCATCAAGTTTTACAGGATAGATTTGCAATGAGAGATTATCCGGATAAAAAACCATCAACTTTTTTGTTTATATCATTTTAGAGTAGTAAAGATAAGTAGAAAAATATGGAATAATAAAAATAGACCTCGTAATTTGCACCAAAATAGCTAAAAAGGATAAAAAATACTGAAATCAGATCTGTATGGCTCGGGTCGAAAAAACAGCTCAGCTCGAAAAACGGCTCAGCTCAGAAAACGGCTCGGCTCGGCTTGGTGCAGGCAGCTTGGCTCGGGATGAAATCAGTTTGGCTCAACGGATCAGATTGGCTCAACAGATCAGATCTGCTCAATGTAGCTGGTCAAAAAAATTCCTTGCGCACGGCTATGCGTGCGGCGAAGGGGAAAACTTGTGCCTAGTAAAAGGCCGGTAGGTCGCGGCCAGAGGCTTCGTACGATCGGAGTGAGGTAGATCGCGCGTCTCTGCGCGTGGAGGAAGAAGAAACCAGAGGTTGTCGCACGGCTCTGCGCGCGGCTAAAGAAGAAGGAAACCTCGGTGCCCTGCGCAGCTCTGGGCGCGGTTGAAGAGGGAACTGGGTCGTGCGTCTCTGCGCGTGGCTGAAGAAGGGAACTGGCTTGTGCGTCTCTGCGCACAGCTGAAGAAGAAGAAAACTAAGAGCGTCTTCGTGTCTCTGCGCACGGTGGAAGAAGGAACTAGCCGCGCGACTTTATGCGCGGTGGAGGAAGAAACTGGTGGAGGAAGGATCCGGATGCCTTCTCCCTTCCTCTGATCTTTCCTCTCTTTCCCCTGGTCTAACTCTCTTTTTCCTCTGCTTTCTTTTGCTGTTTTAAACCCCAAAATAACCTTACTTTGCTCTGAAACCATATAGAATTGGAGAAAAAATATAATTTTATTTCTAACCCTTTAGGTT